TTGGCAATCACTGCACATACCAGATTGTCATCTGATAAAGTCATTCTTTCCAAAGCAGTGAGTGCAGCACTGTAAACACTCTGGTTTAAAATAAAGCTTTTCTTTATGTATAAGCTAGAGGCTGACATTAAACTTTTATCATGTCTACTTAAATTTCATATTAAAATAAATAAAAATGTTTTCTTGAACGAGTCTCTTTTTGAAATACAGCTCCTTTCGTGGTTAGGTTGGTAATCTGTTTCAGGTCCAGCTCTGCCACTCATCTTCTATGGCTTTAACACCAGAAACTCAGAGATATTCTATGTGTCTTTAGTCTAAATAAAATCAGTTATGGAAATATCAATTTGATGATCAAAAATAACCCAATAATAAAGAGTAACATGGACACAACCTCTACTAATACAAGAGAGGGACACAAAGAGACAAGACTCCTGGTATCTTGACTCCCGTTTTAGACGTGGTGATACAATCGTCTTCACAGCTGCAGGCTCTGCTCGCTTTTTTTCTAAGTTGAAACAGGACCTCATCTGACTCCAGGCTTCATATCTGATGGTTTTATGTTTCTTTTCCAAATGGGAGGGATCTGTTTGAGGAATAAAAACATTCATTCCTATGGCATAACAAGATACAAGTCTGCACAGAAACTAATAGGAGTATAAAAAGGAATCTTGCCTGGGATGGAAATAAAGTGTTAAAATTATTCGACACTTTGTCACGGAAGAACCAGATTGCTTCAGTTTTATGTGATAGATCAACACAAAGCTTTTTTCAAATAAAATAACAGCAACTCCCAAATAAAACTAGCCTTCAAAAGTCATTTAATTAGTAACTTTAAATGAGCTTGTGTCAGTCTATTGCATGACATCCCCATGAATTACTCCCAAGATGTGGTCGTGACATAACACAATGTGCAAAACACATTATTCTTATGCATATTCATAAATTCATAAAGCTGAAGGCATTTAAAAACACATAGAATAGAGTGTAGTGTGTGTATTAAATCTGGATTACCAATGGTGGGATTGAAGGTTCTAGATGCCGTCCTAGAAACGATAAGAGGCGTCTCCATATCAGCCCACTGCCCAAAAACATGAAGCCAGTTACCAGCCAGAAAGCACGAGGGTCCTGTGACGGAAAAAGATAGGCCCACACTTACAGGCTGGATTTCAAACAATGTAACATATAAACATTTAACAGCGCAGGGACTTACATCTTCAAATGCTGTGGTTAGATTCATTCCAAAAGCCACCCCGATCAGACCAAACAGGGTCAGAGAGAAGGAACCCATCGTCAGCTGCAGATTCAGACGCATCATCACGTTACGATGGCTACAGCGAGAAAAACAGAAGTATCTTTATATATCTTCAAATATTTTCAACTATTTTTTAGAGTCAAAGAAAAAGAAAAGGAAACAGATTAAGTGCAAAATGAAAATAAAATTAAGTTTTATGTCTCTTTCTTTAGACTTGTGTGCATGTGAAATGTAAAAATAATGTACAATGAAGGTGTGTACCTGTCCAGATTGATAAATATGACACTCTCTGAGTCGTCTATCAGTCCCTTTAGCTCTCTAGCCTTGTTGCCAAGCTCCTCAGCCTGCGTGAAGAGGGAAGATCATTAGAGTTCCTGCTTCAGAACACACAACAAATATCTGGTATGACCTAAAAAATAAATTTAGGTTAATAAAAAGCAAAACAGAAGAGCTTAACTGCTTTCTGGAAGTTATGAAGGTCCTGAGAACTGTTAGTGTCATGATTCGGCGCTGGACCGAATGGGATACCAGCTGGGTGTTCAACAGCTTGCTATTATCTAACTGGGATCTGTAATCTTTCTTTAGCACCAACCATTGTGCCTCCTTGAAATCCACTGCTGCTTTCCCAGAGCAAAAGCATACAAAAACTGCTTTACTCAAGAGCGTTGAAAGAATGGCACTGCAAACGTGGACAGAATTTTTGTTACCCCTCATTTAAGAACGAAAAACCATGATGGTCACATGCATAACTTGAATCTAAGAAAAAGTAATAATATATATTTTTAAATTGTATGAAAATCTACAACTGAAAATAAACTAATGAAAGAGGCCTTCACAAAAACAATGGTACCCTAACTTTATATTTTGCACACAACCTTGAGTCTATCAATGCAATCAAGCATTTTCTGTAGCTGTCAGTGAGACTTCTGCTCCTTTCAGCATGTATTTTCACTTCTCATGAGCAAACTGCTCCAGTTGTCTCTGGTTTGAAGGGTCCCTTTCCCAGACGCCATGTTTCAGCTCCTTCCAAAGATGCTCAGTAGGATTTAGATCAGGGCTCATAGAAGGCTACTTCCGAATAGTCCAATGTTTTCCTCTTAGTCATTCTTGGGTGTTTCTAGCTGTGTGTTTTGGGTCAATATCCTGTTAAAGAACTGCAACTGAAACCAGGCTTCTGACACTGAGCAGCATATTTCTCTCTAGAATCCCTTGATAGTCCTCAGATTTGATTTTACCCTGCAGAGATTCAAGACATCCCATGTCAGATGAAGCACAGCAGCTCCAGAGCATAACAGAGCCTCCACCATGTTTCACATTAGGGACAGTCTTCTTTTCTTGATACATTTTATTTTTCTGTCTGTGAAGATAGAGCTGATGTGCAGTAAAAATTCAAATTCTGTCTCATCTGTTATTGGGATATAGCTTTGTGGATTGCCAACATGTTGTTTGAATTCCGATCAGATGTTTTTGTTTCCAGATATGGTGTCCTCCTTGGTCAGCTCCCATTATGTCCACTTTGGCTCAAACAACGACAGATTAATAAGATATTGTTTAATCAGATATTGATGTTCCTTGTGCTTCAAGTTCACCTTTAAACTCTTTAGAAGTTTTTCTGGGCTCTTTTGTTACCATTTATATAAACCGTCTCTTTGATTCATCATCAATATTCCTCCCGCTGCCACATTCAGAGGGGTAGGCTACAGCATTAGCTAATGAGCTGTGTCAGTCAGGGCTGCTGATGCTAGCTACCTTTAGACACATTAGGCAAACCTGTGGCAAGCCAAACAATGGAAAGAAGGAGAGGATGATGAGAAAAAGAGGAGAGAAAGTGTGGACTGCTGGAAAAAACTGCGGTGAACTGGTGAAAGAAATGAAATGGCATGCTTAAAGGTGACCCTGCACATTCTGAGGATGTTTGACTCAACCTACTGCTGTGAAGCAGGATTCTCCACCATGAACAGAATCAAAAATAAATATCCATCCAGGCTCTAAATGAACATCTTGATAGGTGCTTGAGAATGGCTTTGTCTCCAATCAAACCCAGGTTTAAAAGCCTTGCAGGTCAAACTAAAGCTCATTTCTCTCATTAAGCCATAAACAGGAAAGAAAAAAAATGTGTTTTATAAAAAAAAGTTACCGTAGACAGGAAATTTTCTATATACCAAACTGAAAGAATGTTGTTCTCTACTTCAAAAAACAATTTAGATTTTAAAATGGAAAATTTTCAATTTATATATATATATGTATATATATATTTTTTTTTTAAATCAGTGGATGCATAAACACTTCATTTTATTTCAGTGTTAAATTCTGTCTAAAGTAACAGATTATAATTAAAAATGTCTCCAGACCTTAACTGGTTGTTGATTTTCTTTATTCGGACCCTGCTGATTTTTATTTGGTTACCCTGGTCTAAAGGTATGAAATGGACATATTCTTTGGGTGGTGTTCCTCTAAAAATGTTTCTCATATAAAGAAACCCCCAAAGGAATCATTATTAATTTCAATCATCAACTAGGCGGTAGATAGGCTGGCTTCAGTTAACTTCAGTGAGACTTTATACAGCATGTGGATGCAGAGACTATTAATCTTTAGAACATTAAGTGGATTTGATTCTGTTTTTTTAACGCTTATCGATACAGAACATGAATCAATAAAACATTTGCTTAAATATTCCCTTTTTCTGCTGCAAAGAGCCACTACCTGCATGTAGTAATTCTCCAGTAAAAGCTCCATCTCCTCACAGTGGTCGATACCCATACTGCTCTCCTCACTGGGAAGCAGACACACAGACAAGTGTTTATCATTTGGGGGATAAAATCACATTTCAGATTTATTCTTATGCACCTTTCATTTTTCTTTAGCAGGGTAGATACATTTTAAACTTTCTGCCAAAACAACGCCTCAGCTCTATGTAAATCCACAGTCATTGATTTAAGCATTCAGAGATTTGAATAAGATGGCATAGAAACATACAAAACTCTTGGATCTGTCCATTTTGTGAGACACAATTCTTCAATCATCTCGTCCTCATCCAGGATCTTCAGCAAGGAGTCCTTGAAAACTTTGATGTCTGTTTCCAACTCTGACAAGCTGCCAGACAGAAGATAATGAATCAAACCAAAAGATGAAACACCTACGTTTTTTAGTTCCATCATTGCATTGTGATCAAGTACTTTACCTCTTGCTGTTCTGCAGCAGAATATGCAGCTTACTCCTATCAGCAGAAAGGATTTTAGGATCCACGAGGTACTCCAAAGTGTCCATTATGACAGGTTCCAAATCGTTCAGTCGGGTTTGCAATGTGTTAACCTGTTGATGCAGATCCATGAGACGCATGCATAAACACACACTTCCTGTTATCTTAAAACAGAGTCTGAGGCATGTGGAACCTTGTGCTGCAGGATGGCCTCCAGGGCTCTGAACTCAAAGGGCAGAGAGTGTGTCTGCGATGCTAGCTGTGGGGCCAGCTCCAGGACCAGCCACCGTTCCAGACCCAGACCACGAAAATCCAACACCAGAAGAGACTCTGGGGTCACGATGACTTTCAAAGACTACAAAGAGAAAAGTTAAACATGCTCTGTCACCATACAGAAAACAGACACGTATGCATGGTGGGATTTCTGCATGTTATTGTTTGTTGTGAATGTGTTGTATAATGGCAATCAATGCATTTTATAGTATGTCCTTTAAAGAGTCGAGTCCAACCTGTAAATATTTGCAGTGAGCATCCAGATCAATAAAATCTTCAACAGGTCAATGTTCAAAGCAGAGACTCAGAAAACAAAAGCAACAGTGAGAAACGAATTCTGCATTCTGGGTTCCTGATATCTATGCACTACATTCTGCAGAAAAAGATCCTACAGCTCTCATAAAGCAGGAAGAAGTGTCAACAGGCCAGGTAATGTCCCTGTGTTCTTATGTATGGCTAGGTCAGAACAATGCTGATTTATTTCAGTTTTGATAGCTTTCTTGGATCATTTTGTTGCTGAAAGGTCATCAATCCAACCTTCCTCTGTGACTGCAGGATGGCTGTGAAGCTGCTGTTCCTTTGGCTGCTGCTGCTCCTGTTCAGTCTCAGCTGGACTGAAGAGCAGAGGTGTCTGAAATATGCCTCAAGCTGCGACCAGTGCATCATGGCGGGCTCTGAATGTGCTTGGTGTACATCTCCAGGTGTTAGCATTCGTTGTGCAACAACAGAGCACCTGCAGAGCAGTGGCTGTCCCAGAAGCCAGATTTATAACCCTACTGGCAGAGTGTGGGTGCTAAAGAATGTTAGACGGTAAGCATCATAACTTGTGCAGCAAACCTTAGTTTACTAGTTAGTTATGTGACAGCAGCAAATCAGCTCCTTTGTAACTTCCTCTTTGAACATACAACCTGCACTAATCAAATGCTACCTATGTTATCCTGGATTAGTAAAACTAAACATGATGAATGGACACAAAGAACACTGCAAAATTTATTTAAAAATCAGTAGAAATGTCTTAAATTATGTATATACCCGGTATGTCCCTAATTTAAGCAGCTACATAAAGGAATTTGCCGATGGAATAACGTCTTTCCTTAGAATAAAATAATCAAATATGCACCTAAAGTAAGATAATAGAGTTATTATTTTTATTACAAGCATGAACTATCTTATTCCATTGACAAATTGTCTTTGTCTTTCTTAGCTGCACAAATCATAGGAAAACAGACTTGCATATCAAGTGAGATATAAACTAAACATGTCCTGATTGTTTTTATTGGAAAAAATAAATCATCAGAAAAACTCTGAAAGAGCTTTTATAACCCCTACTGCAGATTTGTATAACCTCTATTCACACTACTTTACTATTGTCATTATTACAAAGAGATGCATTTTACTAAGATCTTAAATACCAGTCAGAACTTTGTTCATTTTTTCTTTGAGTAAAAAAGAAAAAAAAAGGATTGAATAGATTCCTTAAAGAAGACCTTTTTTTATTAAATTAAACCAGGTGAAACTTTTCCAGTTGATGGGTTCTAGATAGAGCTGTCCTTTATCATAAATGCTAAATGTTTATATATTTTTGTGCAATTTTAATATAATTACTGCTCTAAGTGGGTTTCTCCATAAGCTAAAGGCATATTTTAGAGTCTCTATATTCCAGTTAACGATTAATTGATCACTAAATTAGTTGACGATTATTCCAAAAATCTTCTGAAGGCCTTTGGTGTGACTCGGTTTTATTTGGGGCTTCAGACTATATGGAAATTGATACACAGGTTGCTCTTTTCAGGTTTATATCGGTTAAACGTTTTTAAAGCATAATTTTCCCTTAAGTAATAATAGTGTGCCCGGTTCCCCCAGGTACGGTACTTATTGAATAATGATTTTTTAATTTTTTTCTAGGGCTGACCAGGACGCTAGGATGCATAATACCAGAGCTGTTTTTCTGGAGCCCCAGGAGGTTTCCGTCTACCTGAGGCCTGGAGTTCCTGAGCTCATTTCTCTCACCATCTCCACAGCACCAGGCCATCCTACACCAGAGCTGATTATGGACCTCAGCAACGCACCAGCTGAAGTTAATGTCACCCTCAGCAACATAGTCACAGATAACCCAAGACACCTACAGGTCAGATAGATAATATATACTTATGTGTAAAGGGTTTTTAAGAGTACTAATAGCCATTTTCTGATGTAGGTGAGTGTGGAAGTCAGCCAGTGTCCCAGTAAGAGTGGAACCTCAAACCAGAACAGAAAAGGACCCTGGTCTATTCTCATAACACCCAGAGGGTTTTCCGAGGGCTTCAAGCTAGAGATATCATTGATGTGTAAGCCTTGAGAGCATCTCTGCTTCTTAACTAGATCTAAAGGGTTCATGTTTCATACTGAATTAAATTTCCTACCTGCAGGTGAGTGTAACTGCACCGGGAACTGTGCTGAAAACAGCCCAGAGTGCAACGGCCACGGGGCTCTGGTCAATGGTTATTGCGAATGCCACACGCCTTATTTTGGAGTCAGCTGCCAGATTAAAGGCGATGCCGTCTCCTACCAAGACGAAGAGCGGTGCCGCTCCAGGCCGAACGAGCCAGTTTGCAGCGGCAGGGGCTCTTGTGTGGAGGGCATCTGTGAGTGCAACAAAAGGGAAAATCCAAAGGAGGCGTACAGTGGACGATATTGCGAGTGCAGCAATTTTAACTGTCCACACCTCAACAACAGGTAGAGTACTCCTGATGAGGATGAAAAATATCCACTTTTACAGTGTGGGATCCTTTTATGGTAACTCCTTATAAATATCTGCAAAAAGCCTCATATCACATAATTATAGCAGCAGCATCTCAAACTAAATAATTATTTAAAATTAGGGCGTAAACAATTAATTGGATTAATTGTAATAATTGTCAACTAGTTTAGTAATTAATTTATCCTTAACTGTATAAAGTATATAGAGTATAAAAACTAAACGATGACTTCAGCTGATAGAGATCCCACTTAAAGCAGTGTAATTATACATGCATTGTAAAAAAAAATATGTAAACATTTTGCATTTAAGATAAAAATCCTTTATTGTCTATCCAGATTTCAAGTGAAAATCTTTTAGCTTCAACTGGTTTAATTTCATAAAAACTCTTCTTAAAGGAACTTTTTGCTATCAGGTTATTAAAAGGAAAAAATAACCGACAGATTAATCAATTTGCAAAACAATCATTAGTTGCAGCCCTATTTAGAAATAAATGTATTTTAAAGGCACACTATGCAACATTTTTCAGTTAATTAATGTGTTCCATAACGTTATGGATGATTAAATGAGTCATTTCAGGTTGAACAAAGGTATTCTTGGCCGCCCTGGTGGTCTGTGGGGGAAATACTGCACTTGCAACTGCAGGAGCACCGACCCGCACCCACAGGCTCAGAAGTCTCGTGAGAGTCAGTCTTGCTTTACGGCAAGAACTGCTACACGCCCCAGTTAAAAGCATGCTCGTTGCTAGCACAGTGGCGATCTTTGTGCAGTTATGCTACGTTCACGCAGCAAAAGATGCAAAATCGCATCTGCTGCTTCATTTTTGCTGCTTGTACCAGTTAGTTCTGACGCGGCTGAAGCAGCTTTGCTGCTCTGGCTGAGTGGTGCAAAAGTGTGTCTGAGGCGCGTTGGGCGGAGCTTCACTATCCTTTCTCTGCCTTGCAGCTATATTTGCTGTGATCAGTGGGAATAAAGTAGTTTTAATATGTGTTTAAGTGAGAAAATACACCTGAAAACGTAATCAGTGCAGTCAGTTCATTCAGATTATTATCCTGCCTTCAATATTTTTTCTGTCGGAGCCGCTCAGACCCCCACATACCAGGGATGCGCCGAAAGTAGGGATCCCTTCATCAGCAGCCTCTGGCCGGGTTGCCTCCTCGCGGTTCACCACGGCAGCTGGTAGGTGTTTTTCATCTAAATAATCCAAACTGCATATTTTGCCGGCAGATTTCTGCATTTTAAGTTAATTTAGGCGTCAATAAACTATTTAAGAGGAGTGATCATAGCCTCTGATCATCAGCGCTGTGTCTCTCTCCCTGCGTCAGATGCTTAGCCCGACGCGCTGCTTCAGCTGCTCAGACGTGCTGCGCCTGCAGCTCAAAACGCGCCGCGGGACCTTTTGCTGCGCCTTGACGCGCATCAACCATTGACTTTGCATGTAAACTCGCTGCTTCTGTCGTGCCAGCTACGTCCAGTGTGAACGCAGCGTTAGTCATTCGCTGCTAAGCTCAAAACAACCGCGCCTGACTTGACGGAGAAACCAGGAGAACAGCTGTGCATATTTACGACAGTGCACTTTTACTTTCGCCCTCTGGGGGGAGCCTCGCTGGAAAATCAACACCGGTTGCATAGTGTACCTTTAAGTAGATTTATTTAAAATTGAAAAGTATCCCATGCAAGAACATAGCTATTGCTATAAAGTGCATTTTCAATCAATTTATTCAAAAACTTTCGGTTGAATTGATTTCAAAGGGATTGTTTGGGCAAACAAAAACGTTCTCAGGTGATTTTTGTATAAAACAACAAATCATTATTTTTAATTTCTTGCCTTTTCCAAACTGATCCCAAACACCCAGCCATTGAAGCCTTTCTGCCTAACAGACTCTGCGGAGGCAACGGGAGGTGTGAATGTGGAAGGTGTCAGTGTGAAAGTGACTGGATCGGTGAGGACTGCAGCTGCTCCATGCAAACCGCTTCGTGTTTGGGGAGGAACCAGATACTGTGCAGTGGGAGAGGGTTATGTGACTGCGGCAAGTGTCAGTGTGATCCTCCGTACAGTGGCCCGACATGTGAGGACTGCCCCGCTTGCCAGGGCTTCTGCCAGGAGCTTGCTGCGTGTGTGGAGTGCAGAGCGTTTGGAACAGGAGCCAACAAAGACACGTGAGAATAGATATTTATCTTAAAACATCTCTATAGTATATGTTTCTTTGGCACTGCTGTATAAACTAGCAGAGACAGTTTTTTTAAAAACAGATGCCAGAGGCGTAGCCAGAAAATGTTAATAAGGGTGGCCAGGCATTAACCAATGTACACTGAGGGGGGGCCAAAAGCTGATAGGGGCCAGAACCTCAGGGTCAATCTACACTGTTCCAACAGGAAAATTAATGAGCAGAACAACCATATTTTCTATACTTTCCCACCTAATTTGCTAACAAATAGAGGAATATATTCAAATATCTGTGCTTTCTGGATAAAATGTATAGTGGATAAAAAAATTTTCAGGTTTGAATTTTGGGGCGAACATCTTTTCCATCATCATCAATACTTACCTACTTTTATCAGTAATTATTGTGCATAAAATTGATATTCACAAATACTAATATCTACATAAATTTATCATTTAATAAGTTTTTATTAAAATAGTTATTTATGATTTCACTGAAGACTCCTAGATGACTTGCAGAGACACAGTTTCTCTTTACACCATAAAACACTCACATTCTGTCACATTTGTTGTCAAGTAATTTTTAATATATGAAAAATTCAAATGTTTTGCTGTTAGAGGCAAATAAATGGTAAAGGTGATCAATGATTGGCTAAGGGTGGCCATGGCCACCCCTGGCCCCCCCTCTATCTCTGTCCCTGATAGATGCTTCATTCTAATAATTTCTAAACTAACTTTGTATCTGTTTTTTCCCCTGTTGTGGCAGCGAGTGTGGACACCTCAATGTGAAAATGGTCCAGACCAAAAATGAGCTGCAGGGAAATCTCTGTAAAATGATGACCTTTGACAGGCTTTGCGTATTCTACTTCTCAAGACTGCCCTCTGGTGGAGAGATAGCTGTGAGTCAAACTAAAGAGTGTTGATCCACCTACTTTCATGATGTTTCTCAAGTTATGAAGGTTTGTACGTCCTGACATTAACATTTATGGTGTAGTAAACCTTTTTTTGGTATTGAGTATCTGAGAAGTAAACAGATAAACATGGATTGAGAAAGAATGTCTAGAAAGGAAAGGACTACGTACAGCCATTCGTATGATGATGCAGTTGTTTCTGGTTGTGAGGCTGGTGCTGTGCTGGAAGCGAAGGTCTCTGGCCTGAAGCTGCAGCTCCTGACAAAGTTCTGTCTTCTTCTTTTCTGTCAAATAAAAACACATTAAAGGAGATATTATTTCAGATACTAGTATTATATATGTTGCATCGTACAAAATGTTTATGCTCCCAAGACTGTTTCATAATTTAACTGCAAATTATATACTTTATTGGAATTGTATGTAAATTAAAAATAACACAAAGTGGAGCAAAAAAAAAGCTTCAATATAAAAAAAAACCTGAATAGGTGCTTTATGCACTTATTTGTAGTCTCTTTTCTATCTAAAAATGATGAATAAAAGACAGTTCCTAACCAAACATCGCCGTCTACTGAAACCACCAGGCTAAGCTAACAAGTCTCTTCATTGTGGAAGAGTTGGAAGAAAAAGGCAAATATTGAAAGAAAGCTAAAAGATTTTCCACAAGTCTCGTGGTGGAAAAGGAAACAAGCAGAAGACAAAGCCCTTTCAAATAAGATAAAGTGAATACACCATCTCCATTGTGAAACATGAGGGTGGCAGCATCATGCAGTGGGAATGCTTTGTTTCAGAAGGGAGAGAAACTGTTCAGAGTTGAAGGCAGCAAAAAGCTTTAGACTGGGATGCCGGGTCGTCTACCGACAGACAATCTGAAACCTTCAGTAAAACAGAATGGATCTAATTATTTTGTTGTTCTATTAATTCAGTCAAAGTCTACACTTATATTCAATTAAAAAACTGTGAAGGCTGCAGCTTTAAGGCATCCATCCATCCATGGAGGAGAATGTGCAAAAAGGCTACTACTGCTATTATTACTAGGGGTAAGTATTAGCAGTGGTGTTAGGTTACGATATGTGTCACGATACAATATTATCACGATATTGCAGTATCACCATATATTGCAATATTTTTCCCCAGCTATCAAAATCAAATGTATAAATAAAAAAGGAAGTGCTGTATATGTTCATAAGATGATATTGATTATTGAGTTGTTCTTGTAACCATGCTGTTTGGGGTTTGATTCAGTCCACGTCTTCCACTGTGACTGACTTAACAGATATGGTGACAGATATGGCGGCGCACAGAAAAAGGGCTCATGGCGCCCTCTGCCAGAGTGGCAGTGCAGAGGTAGTCCATTTTCCCAATTTATCATTGTTTTAGATAAAAATGTTTTGTCATGATATATCGTCAAATCATTTTTTTCCCACACTCCTAATTATTAGGCACTACTTTGTGTTGTTTTATCAAATGAAGACCCAACGTAACAAAATGCAGTTTAAAACATAAAAAAGGAGAAAGTTTAGGATGTAACAACAGTCTTTATTTCTGGGTTCATCAAATATGGAGTATAAATGTGTATAAACATTGATTTGAATAACTTCACTGCTCAGTCCTGATGAAGCACAGCGCAGTTCAATAAGTTACATTAACAGTCTTCGTGGAAGACAATTTCTAACACTTACCAAACGACGTGACATTTCCCTCCTGATCAAACTTCATCTGTCAAATAAACAAAAAATATCATTACTGATATTCAGCGATCAGGATGTCAATAGAGGAACTCTGCTTTTAAATCTATTTCACCAAAGAACACGGAAATCTTCAAGATCTACCATCAGTGTGGTCCAATGAGTGATTCTCAATCATTGTGTGGAGTTTAAAAGCACAACAGAAGCAACAGCTATAATACAAACTGTTCAAAGTGTCGATTATCTCACCACAATGAAGGTTGGAGACACGCTGGACAGAGGAGCATCGGTCGCTCTGCAGCGTGCCACGGACACTGGGGAAGGAAAAGCACAGCTGTGTTATAAAAGACACATCTGCAGCCATAGATGAGCAATAATAAGGTGTGATTGAGGTGCTTTCTTTTAAATCACCTATGCAAAAAAATAAAAAAAATACAGTCTAAACATTTATATGTATGCTTTTTTGTACCATTTCCAATAATTATAAAAAAAAAACACTTCAAATCTCCATCAAAAATTATTTAAAATCAAGAAAAAGTAATAATAAGCAGTGGTTGGGTATATATTATGTAAAATGATTGGTTAACACAGGTTAAAAAGGCTACACATGCGATACAAAACATGGGTGGAAACTGGTGAGGAGGCGAACTGCTGATCCATCACTCAGAAATGATTTGGTGTTTTTGCCTTCGTCTTTGCAGCCCCTATCCCCAGTTAACCTTTTTTTTATTTTTAATAAAACACAAAAAGAATCCTAATCCACTGCTCTGTTTAAAACAGCTTCAGTTCAGTCATCAGAACTTTTAAATATTATTTTCTTAATCAAGGTCCATATCCACAGACTGGCTCTGTAAGCATGCAGATCTATCCATGTTATAAGCACATGATAGATCTGCATGACTGCAGAAAGTCAGTTTGTGGATATGGACCTTGATTCAGAAAAGAGAGTTTTAAGATATTTGGGATTTTCTGTCAACTGTGAGTTGTTTATTAAATTGTCTATTAATTGTCTTGTGATAGACTGCTAATAAGATGCTAAAAATCGAATATAATATTCAGCACTACACTACTTCCTTTATTGTTTTATCTAAATGCCTAGTTGATTCATTGGTCAGAGCCAAAACACTATAAGCAAAACAAAATCTCCTATTCTGGCTCCAACATAATAACTACTGAGGAAGCAGCTGAAAACTAGGTGTAGAGGCGATGATTAACTCTAACAGGGCTTGCATTTGTTTTTGAAAATAAACATAATCAAGACTAGTTATTTAATGTTATAGTTTTTCAAGCCTGTTAGTTTTTCATTTATTCACAATTCCTAATTTATAAAGCAAACACTGCAGAATGAAGCTGGAGAGACATAAAACAAATTAAAAAAAAAACTCAAAAAAACTTTGAAAGACGTACCAGGGTTCCTACAGCATAAGGCAAGTTTACTTCAAGATTTTTCAAGACTTTTTAATGCCACTTAAAAACAAAAATTTAGGACCAACTTTACAATAAACAGAATCAAAACCTGGTAGCGATAAATTTACCCCTAATGTTTATTTTAACATAAACCATTACTGTCTGGCCCGGTAGATATGTTTAAAATTTTTAAAAACTTTCCATAAAGGAAGAAAGCTAAAAACGCACAAATAACAGATATATTTGTATCTAGTGTTGCGCCGATGCCAATTTTTTGGCCCCGATATGATACCTGATATCTGGTTGTGCAGTATTGGACGATACCAATAACATCTGTTTGAAATTGATGTGTGTATGAAGAACTGCATACTACTTGGATGTAAAATAATTTCCATCATGGCTTTATCAAGCTGCTGCCTACCTTTGTAAAGCAGGAAAAAGACTAATACAAAGTGAATCCAGTTTTATTGCCTATCTGGAATGGGTGACAACAATAGTTGAATAAACTTTAGGCTCTCAAAATGGTCGTATTTGTTAGTACTCGCCGATACAGATACCACAGTTTTAGTGCTGGATCGGGGCCCCGTCCGATACTGGTATCGGTGCAACACTATTTCTAACAACTATTGAGCTGAATTCACAAACTTTTTTTGTTCCCTACTCAATCCCTCTACTTTCATCGTCGGCGTACGGCCAAACATTATCGGGAGATTTGGTTCTACTGGCGCTGGGAGATGCTGTGGAGGCGTTGCAGAGACAAGGGTGGAACAGAACGGAGCAATACCTGCTGCTTCTCCATAACTTAATTTTGATGCTTTGAGTTTCACGCCTCACACATGTGTCTCCACTGCCTTGATTCCCATTGTGCTTCATCTACATTCCCTGGCAGTGCTTTTAGCCATGCAGGAAACTCTTAGATGAATAGCCTATTTTCACTTGAATTTAAAACTTCCCCATGTTGTCCAGATAAAAAGTTAGTTGCACATCACCCCAAGGTCCGGCCACAACATCATTTATATCGGTTCCGCTATCAGGACGGTCAAGTATTTTAATGTGTGATGTGGCTTACAAAAATAAAATCCTATTTCTGATGTGGTAACAATTTTAAGACCTATGAAAGACTTATTTAAGACATTTTAATACCAATTAAGGCCTTGATTTTACCTTGAAGAATTCAATGCCTTTTAAGACTGTTTAAGGATCTGCAGGAACCCTGCGTATTCCCATCTATTTATCAAGACTTTTAGGGAATTATTTCTTGGAAATAAAGTATAAGATATAAGCATATATCTTATACTTAAATAAGGCATGCAATAATAATAAATTTAGTAAAGTGACACTAAATAAGTGATATGCTGCTAAGAGTTTAGGTGATCATTGGCAGAGGGGAGATTTATAGATGTTTTTAAACTAATTCCGGCTATTAGACCCTTTATGTGTTACAGGTTCCTGTAATCAAGGTAAATTGAGGTAATCTGTGTAAATCTTACCTGGCCAGGCTGCTCCTCCCTGCAGCAGGATCTCCTTCCTGAGTCCAGCAGAGTGACTCCATCTGTGCAGACCTGCCCTCTGGCACCATGTGGGATTAGAACCAACATCACAGAGTCTTCTGCTGAGCACTGCGAGGTTCAGCTGCTGAGATCCGAGGATGAGGGTTTGATTCTGAACACATTGAGAGGTTAGAGAGCAGAAGGAGCTGAAAACTGGTTTCCCAAAGGATGCCATCCTGGAGGAGTTCATGCAGCTTCCCAGCAGCTGCAGTCTGTGCAGCTTCACACAGACTGACATGCTTTAGATCATACAGGAGAAATCTATTAATGCTGCATTTATTAATTGGTATTAAGTGGTCCAAACTTGTTTGATCTCAAAGCTTCCAGGTAGTAAAAATGAGTTTAAAGTATTGCAATAAGAGCTCAGCAGTGTACATGTACTGGCTCTCCCTCTCAATCTTTCCAAAATGTTTCCTACTTCCGCCTGTGTGTGCTAACTTTTACCACTTACTACCCTGATAAACTAACAGAAACAACAGCAAGATAATGTGGACAGCTCCTGGTAACTATCGGCTCTAATGAGTTAAAAGCTGAGGCTGCTCTACTCCAAAAACAAGCCTCCCTCCATGCTAGCCAGCCGGGGTGATGAGGACAGCAGCAAGAACACGCTCCATAATGCACCGCGGAGACACACTCTCAAAGATCGTCTACGCGGCAGTCAATCACTCTCTACTGTTTTGTTCTTCTTCG